AGGACTCAGGAGGCAAAGGTAAGCGGATCTCTGTGAGTTCAGGGCCAGCCCGGTTACAGAGGGAGTTCCAGGACAGCCACACAGTGTTTGGGCTTTAGTACTTGCAGTGCTCTGAAGTGTGACTGTGACTGTACTCCAGTTCTGGAGCTTTTCCATTGCTCTACATAAATCCTGGAGCACTGCACTGTCCCCCATGCTTTCCAGCAGCCTCCAGCCTTCGTTGTCTTCACTGTACAGTCTGCGCTGCACACCTGCCACAAAACCGGCCTGTGCTGCACACCTGCCGCGATCCCGGCCTGCGCTATACACCTGCTGCGATCCCAGCCTGAGCTGCACACCTGCCCTGATTCCAGCCTGCGCTGCACACATGTCGCGATCCTGGCCTGCGCTGCACACCTGCCGCAATTCCGGCCTGAGCTGTACACCTGCCGCCATCCCGGCCTGCGCTAAACACCACTGCTGCACTCCTGCTCCGATCCCAACCTGCCTTGCACACCTGCCGCTATTCCAGTCGGCGCTGTACACCTGCCCTGATTCCAGCCTGCTCTGTACACCTGCTTTTGTTTCTCTGAAGGGTTCACCCAAGTGGAGTCGCTGAGTTGTGTGGTGATTCCTTAATTTTTGAGGAGCACCCACGTCAGGAGCTGAACCCAGCTCACGTTCCCTCCAGCAGTGCAGAGAGTGCTGACCTCCACACCCTGATGTCAGCTGTGTTTTCCTTTAATAAAAGCCTTGTAGCTCATCCGTGAATTCTGGTTGATTCTCTTTTTGGATCTTCTCTCTCATTAGGACGGCAGCTAAGCCAGATAATCACTCTCATATTTCCTTCTCTCTTCCCTTTTAGCTGCAAATCTCTGAACAGTCTGATCACTCCAGATGTTTCAAAGTATTCACACACTAACAGGTGGTTGTTTTTGCTTTGTTTTTGAAGCAAGGACAGCTACATAGCTCAGGATGGCTTTGAACTTAAGATCCTCCTCCTCCAGCCTCCCAAATGATAGATTATAGGCTTGCATCACCACACTTGGTGCTAAGGGTTTTTATTGTTTCTTCCATTAACCTCCTTTCTTTGCTTTCTGTCCCCCAATATATCAGATACCAATTTTTAATTAGCAAAGCCCTGCATTCACACAAGAACAGTCTGTAACCCTCCCTGGGGTGTGCCCTACCTACTTTGGAAGGTGGAGAGGACGATGGTTGAGGGCTGTTGGTGAGAGATGACTAGGGAATGATAGTTCTTGTGTCTGATCTGTTTTCAGTGCTATAAATCCATGTCAGTCATGTCATAGGTACTGACTGCTGACACCTAAGACTAAGAATGACGAGGGTGTAAATTTTCCCTCTAGTTACTAATATGTGTTGAAATCAAAACTCAGGGCTCAAGCCGGGTGGTGGGGGCGCATGCCTTTAATCCCAGCACTCAGGAGGCAGAGGCAGGAGGATCGCTGTGAGTTCGAGGCCAGCCTGGTCTAGAAGAGCTAGTTCCAGGACAGGAACCAAAAGCTACGGAGAAACCCTGTCTCGGAAAAACAAAACAAACTCAGGGCTCAGATGGCTCAGAGGTTAAGAGCACTGATTGTTCTTCCAGAGGTCCTGAGTTCAATTCCCAGCAACCACATGGTGGCTGTTATGGTTTTGGTCCCTTTAAGAGACAAGTCACGCCCACTCCCTCCCCCATCCGCTGAGGCAGGCTGATCTTCAGCTTCTGGCCTGAGCTCACTCTCTCTTTTTCATCTTCCTCTTGGAGAGGCAGCTTCGTTTCTGCCTCTCTCCCCACTTCTCTGCTTTCCCCCTTCTCTGTCTCTTTCTCCTCTTCTCTCTCCCTCTCTCTATCTCTCTCTCTCTCCCTCTCTCTCTGTCCCCCCCTTCACCCTTCCTCCTCCATAACTCCCTGAATGAACATTCAACCTCACCCTGCACGTCGTGTCTATCCCTGTTTCTGTCTTCTGCCCGCCCGCCATGTGTCTCCCTGCCTGGGACCAGCCATTGCTCAGGGACCAGCAGCCTACTCTGCCTGGGGCCCACTGCCTGCTGCCACATGTCCCGCCACCACTGCTCTGGGACCAGCCGTCTCTGCCTGGGACTGGCTGCTCCCAGAGCCCGCTGCCTGCCACCACATGGTCCGCTACCACCATTTGGGACCTACAACATTTCTGCTGCCTACTGCCGTGGGGATCTTGCAGCATTTTTTAAAAAAAGAATATTAGTGGCTCACCATCATCTTAATGAAATTCTGTGTCCTCTTCTGGCCTGAAGGCATACATGCAGACAGAACACTGTATACAAAATAAATAAATAAATCTTTAAAAAAGAGAAAAATATTGGAAACTCTTAAAACAGCCATACCTTGTCTAGGGACAAACTAGGGAAAGAAGACATTAACCAGCAACGGGTGGATCCAAAGAAGTTGTTTTTGCTGATAGTTGTGCTTACCAGTGTTGACAACAGCGCCCTCAGGCTTGTGGCAACACACTTGACTAACATTCCATTCATATTTCTACTGAACCACGTGTGACTGAAGATGCAACCCACAGGGTGGGACTACCAAAGGAATGCCTGCTCTCGGGCACGGGTTTGGGGAGACTGTGGGGACTGTGGCTATAGTGTCCCCCTCAATTATTTTCTTCACTGGACAGAAAGGCCAGTTATCAGGGACAGCTAAAGATATGTCATATGGAAACTATCAGAAAACTGGGTGTGGAGCTGGGTGGTGGTGGCACGCGCCTTTAATCCCAGCACTGGGGGGAGGCAGAAGTAGGTGGAACTCTGTGAGTTCAAGGCCAGCCTGTCTACACAAGAGCTGCTCCAAAGCTCCCCTGTCCTGTCTGAAAAAACAAACAAACAAAACCCAAAACAACAAAAGAAAACTGGGCACGGGTGTCACGTGCTTGGAATCCCAGCACTGGGGAGGCTGACACAGGTGCATCTAGACTGTCTGCCACGGGCTCCTTAGCTTGACCATTTCCAAAACAAACAGCCATGGTAGTTAAACATTACATTCTATTTTGGCATTAAGAAAATGTTGGCACTGTTCTTATGTTAAAGATTTCTTGAATTTCTTTATAGGTGCCAAAGATGGCACTACAAAGCATTTGAAAACCTGTGCTTATTCTAAAAAGGTTTAGGCAAACTTGAGCAAATCCTCGGGCTGCTCGATTCATGGTGGTTTGGACAGGCGCACAGCAGACAGTCTGGGCTTTCTCCACACATTTTGTAGTCGTCTCCCATGTTTTCTCTTGGTCACCGGAGATTGTTATTTTCTTTTAGTATGCTAAGAGGATTGTGGTTTTTGTTTGTTTGTTTTGTGTGTGCCTTGTTTTAGTAACAAGGTCTGCTGTGTAGCTCAAAGTGCACTTATCTAGTTCTGTGTGAATAACTATACAGAAGAAATGACAATTTCTTGCTCAAAATGACTCATGAGTTACTTAATTAAAAAAAAGAATAAACTTATTTTAGAATTTGAACTATTCCAGGCCTTTCAAGACTGAGGAGTTAAATCAACACTTTATTTTTAAACATGTAATGCATTAAAAAGTGTTCTCTGAAGATAGCAATACAGAAAACTGCATATCTGGGTACTGTCTGTAATATCACAGCTATCAGTAGAAATCATGTATAATATTTTGCCTTCTAAAGTGCAGAAGAGACAGTATGCCGACCCTTTAGTAACACATATTGTAAAGTCCTCTTGGGAGAGCCAACAAAAATATCCCAACCCTTAAAATTGTGGTTTGAAATGACCATATAAAATTGTGTATTTTAAAATCTTAAACTTTCAGGAACCATTCAAGCTTAGGGGAGGCTATTTAGAAAACAATACTGGGAATTTGGTTTTTAAAAATTACTTCCAAACCTACCTGAATGCATTTAAACAGACCCTGGAGAAGGGGCAAAGAGTTCAGACCAGAGATCTCGCTGCGTTCTAGTCACTGACATTTGACAGCCAGCATGGGAAGCTTGCAGGTAAGGGACTTGTGTGATTCGGGCTCTAGGCAGACTTCAGTCCCAAACTGGAGTATGTGGAAAACATCACTTGGTACCCAGGAGGTAGCTCTGAGTGCTGGGATGTGTGACATGGGGGAGAAAGCCCAGCTGGAGAGCAGTCAGAGCTACTGAAGCATCTTTGAGAATGCCTGGTCCAGCTGGACCTACAGCATCGCTTCTCTGTTCCCCTCTGGTTTAGAGGCACATCCAACACTGATAAAAACCTCCACCCTCTGAAGAAACTTGGAGGACATCCTAACAAATGAGCTTTGATTCTCTGAGGTCATGTCCCAGGGGGCAGGGAAGGACAAGAGCCATTAGAATTCAGTTTTCTGATTGTGCTGCTGGTACTTGCCTGTAATTCCCTCACTCAGGGCCCTTCCACGGGAGGATGGGGACTCCAGGCAAGTGGAGGCTAAAGAAGGCAGTTTTCAAAAATATACAACTTTGATTTCCACCTTCCGTTTGGTTTTAATTGACGCGTAAAGTGTTAGGCTGCTATAGAGGTTTTTGATTAACCCTCCGGGGTTATGGATGTACAGCAATTATATCCACGAACCCCGACCAAGTCAGGCAGAGGTGTTAAAGGATTTTCTTCAAATGCCACAGCTATTAAGGAGGAAGGTGACTCAAACTTCAGCTTGTTCCCAGATCCAACGCTCTCCCAGATTTGCTTGTTGCAGTTTTAGTCAAAAACCAAAAAGTAACCACTTTCATGAAATGAATTCCCTTGTTGTGTTCCGCGCCTTTCACAGAGAAGGCTTGGGGCATCCATTGCAATACTTTGCCCGACGTTCTGGAGTTGCACAGCTCCAGTCGGTGTGCCGAACTGCGCAGCCGCCTGGGGTAGGGGACGCCGGGGAAGAAGACCCTGGGAGCCCGCACCCCACGACCGTAGGCCTCCGGGTCCCGCCCCGGGCCTCTGAGCCACGCCCCCACCCTCCGCCCCGGCCTCCAGGCCCCGCCTCCGGGCCCAGGATGCACCTGGATGAAAACAAAATCCCACGTGACTGGGCCTGCGCTCAGACCATCATGGCGTCTCCCAGTGGGAAGGGATCCTGGACGCCCGAGGCTCCTGGCTTCGGGCCGCGCGCGCTAGCTCGAGACCTGGTGGACTCGGTGGACGACGCAGAGGGGCTGTACGTGGCGGTTGAGCGGTGTCCGCTGTGCAACACCACTCGCCGGCGGCTGACTTGTGCCAAGTGCATCCAGAGCGGTGATTTCGTCTATTTCGACGGCCGCGACAAGGAGAGGTACGGCGGCCGCCACGGCCCTATTGTTTCTGCCTGTCTGTTTTCTTTGCTCTAGCGACCAGAGTCTGGAGCCTGGACACTCCAGTCCTGGCCCTGGAGCCGGGCGACTGTGGACAGAGAAAGTGGCTGTTCTGCCCCGGCGCTTTGTTGCCATTGAGTAGGGTGGGGGTGGGAACCAGGTGAGCGGAGGTCGCTGTCTTCCACCACCACCAGAGAGTTTCTCCACGGCCCACTTGGATAATAAGGAACAGGAAATAGTGTCCTGCTGGAGAAGTCTGTGCAGCCGTATAGAGGAGTACTAGTTCTTTGCTGTGCTTCCACTCAGAAACTTGGCTTAACCTTTTCCCGTCTTCAGACGTCTATACTACATAAGGCACGAGTAGAGAATTTAATAGGTTAGGAGGGATTGAGTCCTGGGCGCCTGTGTCACAGGTGGACCTTGTCAGCTAGCTCTAATGTGTGAACAAGGACTCGGAGGTTGCCTCACTTACTGTAACCCCAAAGGTGATTTTGTGTCACTGGGGAATTGGGAATATGTTTTGAGTTGCAAGCCTAGAGTTTAGTACAGCATTTTGTCTTTCTTTTGAATTAAAATAATTGAAAAATAACGCCTGGCGGCGGTGGTGCATGTCTTTAATCCCAGCACTCAGGAGGCAGAGACGGGTTAGTTCTGGTCTGCAAAGTGAGTTCCAGGATGGGCTCCAAAGCTACAGAGAAACCCTATCTTGAAAAACCAAAAACCCAAACCAACCAAACAAAAAAATAATTAAAAAATAAATGCTTAGCCGAAGTCTTTGTCTCCTAACTTTTGTTTTAACAATGAGCTTCAGTGATAGTAAAGCATGTAATTTTTGTTTGGCTAGTTTTGTTGTTTGTTTTATTTAAGAGTGTCTCACGAAGTAGCTTTGGCTCTTCTGGAACTTCTATGTAGACCAGGTTGGCCTAGCTCACAGCGATCCACCTGCCTCCGCCTCCCAAGTGTCAAGAGGCTGGCTGGGTGCTGTGAGTTCAAGGCCAGCCTGGTCTACAGAGCTAGTGCCAGGATAGGCTCCAAAGTGACACAGAGAAACCTGGTCTCGAAAAACCAAACTAACCAAACAAACAAAAAAAGTCATGTGCCACTATGCCTGAAAAAAATAATTTTTTTTTTTTTAAGAATTAAGGTTGAATTTATTCCTTTACAGCAACCACACATGTTATCCTTAACTGGCTACTGAGGAGAGTTATAATTTTCTTGTCCTGAGGTCACACAGAATTAAAATCCAAGCATCTTGTTTGTATCTGTATACCTGTGCATTTAACTGCTAAACTATACAACATGTAGATTTGGGGATGTTTTGAGTTCCCAGTATTCCTGTGATCATAGGTGGGCTCATTTCTTTTTCATCTGAAGGTATTGGTCTAACAAAATCCTTTTTAGTTTACTGCTGTGTTTTATGGATGAGCTTGATGATTTTAGACCATGGACTGCTGTCCTAAGTGATAGCTCTAAATATTATTTATTTATTTATTTAGGTTTTTTGAGACAGGGTTTCTCTGAGGCTTTGGAGTCTGTCCTGGAACTAGCTCTTGTAGACCAGGCTGGTCTCGAACTCACAAAGATGATCCGCCTGCCTCTGCCTCCTGAGTGCTGGGATTAAAGGCGTGCACCACCACCACCCGGCTGATAGTTCTAAAAACTAAACCAGTTCTGTTTTAAGAAAATCAGGTAGGAAAAGGGAATGTCTAGTTGTTAAATCTTATCAAGTATTTAGCATCTACACTTTCCCAGATTTATTCTTGTAATTTTAATACCATTTAGATGTTGAAGATGATCAGTCCACTAACGGCCAGAGCACAGAATGTTACTCTACATCTGTATTTTCATTTTTTCCCCTCTTTTCCCTCTTATCATTAAGTTTCTGATAGTTCTATTTTAACATGACCGTCTGAACGCCTAACTTTTCATGAATAAGTCTGTTTTTCACATCTTAATACAGTAAATTGTAATACCATCCTTCCTGTATTCAGTACTCCAAAACCCCTCCAGTCTTCAGAAGGCACCATGTCTAATCCATCAACAAATTCTGTCTCTGCAAAGCCCATCCTCAACCTGCAGCTTTGATCATTACAGTCTAACCCGCTGGAGGATTGTTGCTTTCCTGTACCCTTCTTGTTGGTGTACTTTTTATAAGCAGGAGTAATGCCGCTCTATTCTTCTGTTCAAATCATTTGGTTTTGTTTTATTCAGAGTGAAAGCTGAAATCTTGAACCAAAGTCCTGCATATAATTCCTCTGACATAATCCTTGTTATCTTCTCCCTTACCTATTAAGTTATACCTTTTGGCTTCCGTGATGGTCGAAGCACTCTCCTCCCTCAAAGCCTTTGCAGTTATACACAGACTGCCTAGAGCTTTTGCAGTAATCTTCATGACTGCCCCCTGTTCCCTTCAGACCTCTGGTAATACATTTAAGACTTTTTTGGACCCTTCAACTAATGACCTCATTCCTACTTCATGTGCTTCATTGTCATCACCATTTGATTACTTACTGATAGTCTGATCCCCTTAGGTGTAGACTCTGAGGGTGACAGTATTTTTTTGTACACGATTGTATCCTCACATAGCAGATTTAAGAATTCAGGGAATCTAGCCCTATTTCCGTCTGTTTCCTATTCCTACTGACCACTTCTGTATCATGTCTCATGATCACTGGTTACTAAAGGCAAATCATTGAGTTTTCTTGGACTTTGCTTTTTTTCTCTTATTCCTAGCATCTTAAGTCACTAACCAGCAGCCAGTCTGATTCTCCCCAACACCAAAGTATACCTTGAATCTGTCTGCCTACAATCCAGGTCATCACCAGGTCTGTGTAGTCATATAGTCCTTTCCTTATGCAGTTATGACCACCCCTGCTTTTCACCTAAAAAGTAAGCAAGATCCATGTCAGTCTGTTGCTTAAACCCTTCTCTTGCTTTCCACTGCATTTAAAATTAATCTGTTGCTTTGGCATTTGAATCCCCTTCCTTTTTTTTTTTTTTTTTTTTTTTTTGGTTCTTGTCCTGGAACTAGCACGCCTTTAATCCCAGCACTCAGAGGCAGGCGGATCTCTGTGAGTTCGAGTCCAACCTGGTCTACAAAGGGAGTTCCAGGACAGGCTCCAAAGCTACAGAGAAACCCTGTCTCGAAAAACCAAAAAGAAAAAAAGAGAGAGAGAGAGAGAGAGAACAAGTGCTCTTAACCACTGAGCCAGCCTTGATTTGTAATTTTATTTTATTTGTTTGGTTTTTTTGAGACAGGGTTACTCTGTAGCTTTGGAGACCAGGCTGGCCTCGAATTTACAGAGATCCACCTGCCTCACCCTCCATAGTACTGGGATTAAAAGTGTGCACCACCACTGCCTGGCTTGATTTTTAATATTTAATGTGTCAGATTTTAAATTGAGGGGGTAAATTATTCTAAGTTACCTCTTTAAACTAAAAAATAGAAACAAAACAAAGTGAAGTCGCTAGAAGGAAATAAAAATGATAGCAGTAGGCGACGAAGAAGCCTAGGAACTCAGTAGTGTGCACACCTTCCTTCACTAGCTTGTAAGCATCCGGCGACTCACAAATTAATGAAATCAATTCTATTTAGAAGCTATAAGGACTCAATTTGTAGAGGAAAGCAGGGTTAATATTCCTTTTGTAATGAAACTCTGAATTTCCTTGCATTCCAATCCGTGTTGGTGGTGCTGTACATAGTCATGCATTTCTTTACTCCCATTTGGGAGGCGGGGGCAGGCAGATTGCTGAGAGTTCAAGACTAGCCTGGTCTTCATAGGGAGTTCTAGATCAGCCATGGGTATACAGTGAGACCCTGTTTCAAAAACAAAAGTTCATGTTAGTATTCTGATGTTTGCTTTGGAAAACAGTGTTAAGGTACAAAATAGAGTACATTATTATAAAGCCAGGAATGAGCTTTAAAGTTGATAATTCTAACTTGATTTAAAAAAAAAAAAGTAACTGTGTGGTGGCGGCGCACACCTTTAATCCCAGCACTCGGGAGGCAGAAGCAGGTAGATATCTGAGTTTGAGGACAGCCAGGGTTGCTACACAGAGAAACCATGTCACAAACAAACAAACCCAGCTATTGTACCCTATTGAGAAAGTTTTTGCTTTCAGGGTATGGGCGTTTAGCAGGAGTTTGCAGAGTGATTAGCTCATGACTGGTAAGAGTCTCTCTAAACTTGTTGGGTCCAGGAGGACGCGTAAATAAAACAAGGCTCTTTCTTACAGGTTTGTTGACAAGAAGGAAAGGCTGAACCAGCTCAAGAGCAAGCAAGAGGAGTTTCAGAAGGAGTAAGTTTTTATTTTTAATCTCTAGAGGTCTCTAGCCAACCACTTAGTTTAGTCTTGCTGTGCTGTGCAGATATGGAAATTGCCAGCTCATTTAGCAGACTATCTTTTTAAATGTTGGAGCACACCCTGACAACTCAGTGGGCGGAGCACCAGACCTTTAAAGTATGGGGGAAGGAGGGAGAGTTGTCTGGGAGAAGTGAAGCCCAGAATAGAAAATCCTGGCCCAAGACCTGAAGTCTTTCTCACAGAAGTGATCTGTGTTTGGACAAGAAGTCACCCTTGGTCCCGCTCACTGATGGTGGCAGATGGGCCTACAGCAGCAGGTTTTATGAGACCCAAGTTAGTGTTCACAGAAGTGGGTCCCATAGGATGGTGGTCATCAGTGTAGGGCAGTAGATTCCCAGGTGTCTGTGCTGAGATAGGTTTTCGGATGCAGATCCCTGAACTCCTAACCTCAAACATTCTGATGAAGTAAGTCCAAGTGAGGCCCACGACTCTGAGTTGTTAACCAGCACCCTGTGATTCCCTTACCGTGTAGATTTTTCTGTAGAACTTCTGCCTAAACTGACCTGGTAGCTATCCTGTGGTGCCTGCTGGCCTTGGACTCTTACTAAAAACTGATCTTAGCCAGGGTTGGCAGTACGCACCTACAACCAAAAGGCTGCGTTCAGATGAGCCTGGGCACACAGCAAGAGCCAATATTGAAAACAAACCAATAAACAAAAAAAAAAAAACCAAAAAGATAAAGGGCTGGAGAGATGCTCACCCTTCAAGGGCTTCCCTTCTCCTGCATGTCTGCCCATCACTTGAGGCCCTCTGCCAATACTTCCCAAACCAGACCAATATGGACATGTCTTTACTGGTGAAGACAGCTGGCATCTGTCTGTACAGCGATCTTCACAATGGACTCCTTAAACACATTCGTGTGCAGAAGAAAATCCTCTAAAAAACATGCTTCATAAAAACCTGCCTGGTGTATTGGACCCGGCAGTGTATCCATCCGGAACCTTTTTCCCCAGAGTACTTCATTCCTAGGACGAATATGGAGAGGCACTGTCTTTGCCCTTTCTCTGAGAACAGATCTTTGTGTTTTAAGATTAAGAATTATTTTGTGGCTATTATTATTGATTATGACTCATAGAAATTACTGATTATGTCTGAGGACTGGAAGTTCTTGTTATTATTACAGGTGGTAAAGGAAGAAATGAGAAATTGTAAGGAATAAAGAATTTTGAAAATAATTTTTAGACCCACTTTGGCATTTCCAAGTTTTTCCAAACACCTACCTTAAAAGTTGATCATTAACCAGGCAATATGCACCTATAATCTAATGGCTGCGTTCAAGACTAACTGGGCACATAGCATCAGGCAGTACTGAAAATGAAAGGGAAAGGAAGGGCTGGAGAGATGGCTCAGCTTTTGGGAGCACTGGCTGTTCTTTCAGAGGCCTCTGATTTCATTCCCAGCACCCGGATGGCAGCTCACAACCGTCTGTAACTCCAGTTTTAGGGGCTTGAGCTGATGTCCTCTTCTGGCTTCCTCTGCTACCAGGACAAAATAATATTTTAAACATTGATTTATATCTTTTGAGCCTTTTTTATCTTAAGATTTTTATTAAGAACTTCAATCTGTCTTTTTCCCATACAGAGTACTAAAAGCTATGGAAGGAAAACAGCTAACAGATCAGTTGGTAAGTTCTTAAAAGTATTTAAGCTAATATTCTTCATACATGAGGCTATATGTTTTTAAGTTGATAGAGCTCAAAGGAATAATTTAACTTAGTTTTTCACCACATTTGGTTTTTAAATAGTGTGGCCTTCTAAACTGTTACATGGAGATAAACCAAATGGGATAGATAGGCTTGTTATGTAAGGATGACTAGACAGGACCGCTCTTTGCATAGTAATACAGAACCAGGCAGATCATTCGTCTTAAAAAACTACAATAAACACATGTGTGGGTAAGTTACTGATGTGCCCTTGGAGCTGAAGGAGGCTTGGGATGTGAAGCCAGCTGGGCTACGTGAGATGCCAGAGTAGGACAAAAAAAGAATGTAGTAGTGGACTTCTCTAGTTTGGTGTTGGTAGGACCTTTAGAAGCCTCAGAAGAAAGCATTTGGCACAGTAAACTAATTTATAAGTCTGTACATTAAGACTAACCGCTATGCTGAGAAAAGGAGTACAGATGTGTAAATTAGGGACTTTGACAGGACTCTGACACCTAATCCTGTTGGCAGCATCCCAGAGACACACTTGACTTGGGTAGTCTGGGGTGCTTACAGAGCACGTGTGTGCTCAGCAGGTTCCTCCTAAGAACTACACACGGATACAGAGACCATGGTAGCCAGCTAACTGTAGCGTGTTCTAGGTTCATGAGCTTAGAAGGACCCATGGCCTGTGGAGCTGCTTTGGTATTCATGGATTGAGATATCCCTGAGTCCCCTAACTGTCCAATTAGTGTGGCAGTTCAAGTTTTAATGATATAAAAAACATGGTTAGCATACATATATCCAAAAGAAACTATGTCTGAGAAAATTTTTAATGAAAGAAAAGTAAAGTTAACTCTGCTCTAAAAATGGTACATGGTGCACTGGAGTGCCCAGCAGAGGACCGCGCACTGAGCGCTCACAAGGCTCAGGCTGCTTCAGCCATATGAAGAAGAAACTTATCCCCATAGAGGACAGACTCCGTACAACAGCCACATCTCCTTCCTGCAGTCTCTAATGGTTTCATAGGAGGCATCTTGTATAATTTTTCATGACACTTAAAGAATATTTATAATAGAAGTGACTCATGCTGTGACTATTATAATTAAGATGTTTGAGGAGGGCTGGAGAGATTGCTCAGTGGTTAAGAGCATTGCCTGCTCTTCCAAAGGTCCTGAGTTCAATTCCCAGCAACCACATGGTGGCTCACAACCATCTGAAATGAGATCTGGTGCCCTCTTCTGGCCTTCAGGCATACAGGCAGAAAGAATATTGCATACATAATAAGTAAATAAATATTTAAAAAAAATAAAATAAAATAAAAAGATGTTTGAGGAAAATTCTTTAGAAATCCTTATAACATACACACTTATCTGTAGAATCCTGACTTAGGGATGAGCATCAGAGAGTCGGCCTCAGCAGCAGGGCACACGTTTTTGCAGCGAGACTGAGGGCAAGAGCGCAAAAGCATTTTCTGTGCCTTCGTATAAGCTGCCATGAGGTGTGGCCCATATCAGGATGGGTCTTCCAACCTCAACTGATCCAATTAACTAAATATCCCTCACATGTATGGCCAGCTGCTTGGGGTTTTAGTTAATTCCAGATGGAGTCAAGTTGATAATCAAGAATAGCCATCATAAGTCCACCACATCTTGTCATCTGGACACATGATTGTGCCTGCTTCTGTCATAGTAATTTCCAAATGGAAACAATAACCAGGTCATGCTTATACCTAACATGATATAAATATCCCACATACAACTACAAACATTTAGAAAAGGTGGCAGTGTCACTTGGGCCTTTTTATTAGTATTTCATAACGTAAATATGATAAGCATTGATATATCTCAATTGATGTTGAAACCAAGGAAAGGAAAAATGCCTATAGAAGCACATTCTTGACAAAATACAACAGAAACACTCATGTCTGTCATAACCTATATTATTGCAGCTAGTCACATGGCCTTAGCTGGTATTTATGATTGCCTTCCTGTACTGCCCATTCTGTTTCTTCCACCCTCAGCAAGCCCCTCAGCAGTTCTTGAAGAGTTACCCACATCTTCATTCCTGAGGGTCTGTGACCTCTGTTACTTTACCTGGATTGAATTGTAGTTTTCCACTGACTTTAATCACAGGATACAATAGTACAAAGATAGGATCCCCTGCATTCTATCCTAAAGGATCTGCTGAGAAGCAATACAGATTTCCTTTGGTAATCTGGATCAATCAGCCCTCCTAACACTGTTATTCCTTTCTTCGCCTGATCGCTCAAGGGCACAGAAACCCAAAGTGACCAGGAGCAAGTTTGAGCTCCCAGTTCAGTGGAATGTTTGTTGCGTCTCCTGGCAGGAGCACTCCCCTGTCTGGAACCAAAACAAGAACAGGAAGCAAAAACTTGGTCACTAGGAGCAAGAGTAGAACCATTCCCTTTTCTACCCCTTGATTCATGAAGTCATGGATTCTGACTACGGGAGAAACTCTATGTTCCTGCTAATGTAAAGAGACGGCTTCGGTTCATGTAATTTCCAAGTCATCTTAGAAAACTGTATTTGCGTTGTGCCTCAGTAGCCAGCACAGAGTGGAACTCAGTCTGTTTCTGATAACACAAATTCTCTGAATCGCTGATTGTGCAGTAGCCTTTAGCCATGATGTGTGGATAGTAGAGAAAGTGAATCTTTATTCCATGTATTATAATTGTATTTTGATGACTTTGAAACTGGGCCTTATGTAGCTCAGGGTGGTTGGTCTTGAAATGGCCTCCCAAGCACTAGTTTTCTCTGTAAGCCAGCACACCAGCTTAGGCAGGCCGTGTACTTGATAGGAAAAGTTTAGAAGCATTTTTCTCTGCTCTAACCCATGGGAAGGAACTGAGTGCATTCTTTCTTGTTCATTTCCCAGCAGCTACTGTATTGAGCCAGGAAAGTGCTTTTCCTTGTAATTCACCTCAGGTGCAGACAGTTGTGGCAAATGCAATTGTGACAGCTTTTTCCTCGCTGTCTCCTACAGTAGACCCGAGAATAAGCAGTAATTCCAGGTGGATAATCCGTGAGACTAACATTTGTGACATTTTTTTAAGAGATGGAAAATAATGTCATGCAAGATGAGGATTGAGCAGCTGAAACAAACAATATGTAAAGGAAATGAAGAAATGAAGAAAAGTAAGTAATTTTCCCTCCCTGCTGCCCCAGTGAGAGGCCTGAGTGAGTTGCGTGGGTTATGAGCTAGAGGGATAGTGAGAGGCAGGGTCGGGACAGGAAGTCGTCTGTTTTCTCATTGCTTCTGCAAAAAGCACCTTCTTTAAAGAAGGAAGGGTTTATCTGATTCACAGTTGGAGGCTATGGTCCCTCCTGCCAGGGAAGTCATGGCTGCAGGGGCCTGAGGCAGTGGACACATGCATCCAGGCAGGAAGAAGAGAGGTGAGTGCTGACACTTAGTGTGCTTTCTCTTGGTCCCTGACAGGCATGCCCAGGGTTTGTCTCTAGTGATACCTGGTCCTGTTGACTTGGCAATATTGACCATCACAGACTATCAGTGACTTTGAAGAGTTTACTATGGGTTGAAAATATCAAATCCTTAATTTGAAATGCCTTTACAAGTATTTTGTATTTCAGATTTGAAATTTGTGCGTGCGTGCGTGCGTGCGCGCGCAGAGGCGTGGTAGCGGGAGCTACCTGCTTCAAAGCAGGAAGCAGAGAGTTCAGTGGGAATGGCAGGAAACTTTTTTTTTCCACTTTTTATTTTTTGTGTGTGTGTGTTTTTTGGTGTTTTTCTTTCAGTTTATTTATAAAGTGGGTTACATTGACAGATTTTTTTTTAATTGAGAAAAGGAAAAAAAGTTTCCTCCTCCCAGCCTCCCATTTCCCTCCCCCTCTTCCCACCCTTCTCCCCCTCTCCCTACTCCTCTCCTCCTCCCTCTCCAGTCTGTAATAAGAGCGGCAGGGCTGCGTCCCCGGCACCCGGCCGCCCACATGGCTAGCTCTAGCTTATGCCCCGAAATAATTACACGGAAACTGTATTCTTTTAAACACTGCCTGACCCATTAGTTCCAGTTTCTTATTGGCTAGCTCTTACATATCGATCTAACCCATTTCTATTAATCTGTGTAGCCCACGAGCTGGCTTATCAGGAATGATCTTAACCTGCATCTGCCTGGAGTGGGAGAATCATGGCGACTCACTGACTCAGCTCCTTTCTCCCAGCCTTCTGTTCTGTTTACTCCACCCACCTATGTTCTAACCAATAAAATGGGCCAAGGCAGTTTCTTTATTTTTTAACCAATGACCTTCCTACATCACAGTCCATAGAGCAGTCAGGGTTCCCTGCCCTGTGGTAAGTCCTAGGTCCTCCCCCTCTCCGTCCAGGTCTAGGAAGGTCAACATCCAAACAGGCTAGGCTCCCACAAAGCCAGAACATGAAGTAGGATCAAAACCCCGTGCCATTGTCCCTGGCTTCTCATCAGTCCTCATTGTTCGCCATGTTCAGAGAGTCCGGTTTCATCCCATGCTTTTTCAGTCCCAGTCCAGCTGGCCTTGGTGAGCTCCCAATAAATCAGCCCCACTGTCTCAGTGGGTGGGTGCACCCCTCGTGGTCCTGACTTCCTTGCTCATCTTCTCCCTCCTTCTGCTCCTCATTGGGACCTTGGGAGCTCAGTCCAGTGCTCCAGTGTGGGTCTCTGTCTCTATCTCCATCCATCACCAGATGAAGGTTCTATGGTGATATGCAAGATATTCGTCAGTATTGCTATAGGATAGGGTCGTTTCAGGTTCCCTATCCTCATCTGCCCAAGGAACTAACTGGGGACATCGTCTTGGGCTCCTGGGAGCCACTCTAGGTTCAAGTCTCTTGCCAACCCTAAGGTGGCTCCCTTAACTAAGAATTGTGCTTCTATGCTCCCCTAATGGCAGGAAACTTTTAAACCTCAAAGCCAACCCCCGAGCCACACTCCCCAATTCTTCCTAAACATTTCTACTAACCAATTTTCAAACATAATGAGTGTATAGGGCCATTCTCATAAAAGCTACCATAACTGCTCTACAAAGTTTAGAGTCCCCATCATGTCTATGATTTCCTTCTCACTTAGAAGTTACTTTATAGTGGTGTGTGATGGTATCAGAGCTTCCTTGGAAGGTCCTCACTCTTATGAGGTGCTTGCATGGTATTGGGTGGGCGGGCTGGACAGCTAGAGCAGCAAGGCAGCATGATAGAGATGTGGATCATCAGGGAGAAGGGACCCAAGACTTTTGCTGGTATTCTCCAGGACTTGGGTTCTGTGGCTCGCCATCCCCCACCAACTTCCCGTGATGCTCAGGCGTGTCTCCCAGCCTGTTGATTCTGCACAGTATGCTGAACATGTCCATGCATAAACTTTTCATCAACTCATTGTCACAGCTCTCTAAACTTTTTTTTTTTATAATTTTTTTTTATTAAGAAAAGAAGAAAAAAAACATAAACAAAAAACAAGTTTCCACCTCCTCCCAGCCTCCCATTTCCCTCCCCCTCCTCCCACCCTTCTCCCCCTCCTCCCACTCTTCTACCCCTCCCCCCACTCCTCTCCCCCTCCCTCTCCAGTCCACAGAGCAGTCCAGGTTCCCTGCCCTGTGGTAAGTCCTAGGTCCTCCCCCCTCCGTCCATATCTAGGAAGGTGAACATCCAAACTGGCTAGGCTTCCACAAAGCCAGCACATTAAGTAGGATCAAAACCCCGTGCCATTGTCCTTGGCGTCTCATCAGCCCTCATTGTTCGCCATGTTCAGAGAGTCCGGTTTTATCCCATGCTTTTTCGGTCACAGTCCAGCTGGCCTTGGTGAGCTCCCAGTAGATCAGCTCCACTGTCTCAGTGGGTGGGTGCACGCCTCGTGGTCCCGACTTCTTTGCTCATGTTCTCCCTCCTTCTGCTCCTCATTGGGACCTTGGGAGCTCAGTCCAGTGCTCCAGTGTGGGTCTCTGTCCCTGTCTCCATCCATCACCAGATGAAGGTTCTATGATGATATGCAAGATATTCGTCAGTATTGCTCTCGGATAGGGTCATTTCAGGTTCCCAATCCTCAGCTACCCAAGGAACTAACTGGGAACCTCATGTTGGGCACTTGGGAGCCCCTCTAGGGTCAAATCTCTTGCTCACCCTAAAGTGGTTCCCTTAACTAAGAATTGTGGTTCCGTGCTCCCCTATCCACCTTTCCTTTATCCCAATTCTCCTGATTCCCCAAGTCCCCCCTCCTTCCCTTCTACCTTTTCTCTCCCCATCTCCCCTTACCCCCATCCCACCCCACCCCCAAGATCCTAATTTTCTCCCCGGCAATTGGGTCTACTTCCCTTATCCAAGAGGATAACTATATGTTTTTCCTTGGGTTCACCTTCTTACTTAGCTTCTTTAGGTTCACCTATTGTAGACTCCGTGGCCCTAATTTATGGCTAGAAACCAATTATGAGCGAGTACATTCCATGTTCATCTTTTTGGGTCTGGGACACCTCACTCAGGATAGTGTTTTCTATTTCCATCCATTTGCCTGCAAAATTCGAGAAGTCATTGTTTTTTACCGCAGCGTAGTACTCTAGCGTGTATATATTCCATACTTTCTTCATCCGTTCTTCCATTGAAGGGCATCTAGGTTGTTTCCAGGTTCTGGCTATTACAAATAATACTGCTATGAACATAGTTGAACAAATGCTTTTGTCATATGATAGAGCATCTCTTGGGTATATTCCCAGGAGTGGTATTGCTGGGTCCAGGGGTAAGTTGATCTTCACCAACCCCACAACAGACAAAGGTCTGATCTCCAAAATATATAAAGAACTCAAGAAACTAGACTTTAAAATGCTAATTAACCCAATTAAAAAATGGGGCACTGAACTGAACAGAGAATTCTCAGCAGAGGAAGTTCAAATGGCCAAAAGACACTTAAAGTCGTGCTCAACTTCCTTAGCAATCAGGGAAATGCAAATCAAAACAACTTTGAGATATCATCTTACACCTGTCAGAATGGCTAAAGTCAAAAACACCAAGGATAACCTTTGCTGGAGAGGCTGTGGAGGAACGGGTACCCTCATCCATTGCTGGTGGGAATGCCATCTTGTGCAACCACTGTGGAAGTCAGTGTTTCGGTTTCTCAGGAAATTCGGGCTCTCTAAACTTTAAAACAAGGACTGCAGCGCACTATGGGAGTGACATCATGACTGGGAATACAGTGGCCGAGAAGTCTAGGGTCCACCTAGGTGTACGGCCACTTCATATTGCTCTGTTGTGAAAAGTTTTTGTATACGCTTACTGCAGATTTCCATACTGCTGTCAGCTCCAGTCCACGGACCTCACTTTGGGCTGCTGTAGGTGGCTCAGATGACCCCCGGAGTTAAACTATTGCTTACTAGAAGGTGGCTACAGCCTTGGTGCCTGCCTCTAGAGCCTCGCACTGTGTGTGGGCTGTTTTAAAGGAGTTCACAGATTGTAGAAGTATTGAGAAGCCTAAGCTCACAGATGGAGAAGTGGCTACCCAGTATCCTTTCTCTTTATGCTGTGTTGTTGGAATATACCCCCTGTGTCCAGGAAAGGGCACAGACTGGCGGCTGTAGAGCCTCGTAGATGACTTCTCCAAGCCTTTAAGGGTCACAGTGCAGAATGATGCAATCACATTGAACCGCATGGCCAGGAGAGCTGGTTATGTGCATTTGAAGATGGGCTTGATCTGGCTGTGGACTTATTAGAAATAGCATCAAGTGCTTTGATGTTTTATGGGAGACACGGGGAGGGGGGAGATAAGGGAGCCCTGAGTCCATCAGCACTGGCTGCAGGTGCGGTGCCTGAACATCCTGTCACCTGTGCTGGGGGAAGGTACTCTCTCAGGACTGTAGCTAGACAGGTTCTCATGAGTACTTTGAGGGGCAGTAGAAATCACGGACGTGAGGAGAGAAAAGTAAGTCAAAGCAAGCTTATATGAGGCTAAGACCCAGAATATTTTGCCAAGACGGGAGCTGGCTTGGGAAGAGGTGTTTCTGAGAGGAAATGGAAGACTAAGAAAGTTCATGCTTGTGCTAAACCACGAGCTTAGTCCTGAGAGGAGCAGCTCATGTCCACAGGTGCCTGTTACAGCCTGGTAGGAGGCAGCAAGGCTTGAGTGGGCCCTGGGGTGAAGAACTGAGAGCTGTATGCTTTAGAAGGCTAACACAGGGTCCAGATTGTGAAGAACAGGTCTGGGGGCACTAATGGGCAGAGCCTTGCTAAGGAGGGAAAGAGTGGGAACAGTGGGAACCTAGTAAATAACAACGCGAACAATGGAAAGAGGGAAAGTAGGAGCAAACACGGCCCAGTCCCAGCAGGTAGGATTTGAATGGCAGTGCGGGGTGAGCCTTGCAGGACGGAAATTCCTCCAGTGTTCATTCGTCCGCTCACTGCCAGTAGGGCTGCTGAGAAGAGGACCTGCAGGATGGAGGCACTGAACGTGGGGCAAAAGGGAACCGTGGCTATGCCAGTTTGGAAGTTAAGTTTGGTTTGTGTTCAAGAACTGTCAGTCATTGGCTGTAGTTTATAGATTGTGCAAGGCCGTGCATGGTGACACTTCCTGTAATCTCAGCAGGCTGAGGCAAGAGGAGCACGTGCATGCATGCATGCACACACCCAGGGAGAGGGAGAGGGAGGGGGTAAATAGGTTAGAGTTGAGCCACCCTGGAGATGGGCAGCATTTAAGTGAGAGTTAATTAGCAACCGCAGTGAGAGTGGAAAGAAAGGCATGGGTAGATTGTAGACTAGCTAAGAGAACACAGCAGTGAGAGTGGAAAGAAAGGCATGGATAGATTGTAGACTAGCTAAGAGAACCAACTGCAGTGAGAGTGGAAAGAAAGGCATGGGTAGATTGTAGACTAGCTAAGAGAACCAACCGCAGTGAGAGTGGAAAGAAAGGCATGGGTAGATTGTAGACTAGCTAAGAGAACACAGCAGTGAGAGTGGAAAGAAAGGCATGGGTAGATTGTAGACTAGCTAAGAGAACACAGCAGGGGATTGCCAAGGCAACGCACAGGTGAGACGGAAGGGCTTCACATGTGTTCAGAGGTGGTGCTCCTGGAAGGCTCTGAGCTTGGTTTTGAACTTGAGATTGTGGTTCCTAGATGTCTGTCTTAGAGTGCAGTTTGGTTTTGTGACTCAGTTGAAGCTTAACTTGAGTATAATGATCCTAGCAAGCCCCATAGCCCACAGGCTCTCTCCAGGAAACCCTTAGTGAAAAGTATTCTTGGGCTTTACCCTGAGTGTACAGTGGGAAGGGAAGCAGTGCTGTACAGTGGCCTGCAGGGCTTATGAGGCATGTGATGTGTTGTTAGATTCTGAAGGCCTTCTCAAAAACAAGGAGAAGAACCAGAAGCTTTACAGCCGAGCCCAGCGGCACCAAGAGAAAAAGGAGAAGATTCAGCGGCACAACCGCAAGCTTGGGGACCTGGTGGAGAAGAAAACCATTGACTTGAAGAGTCACTACGAGCGGCTGGCGTGTTTGCGAAGGTCCCGCATCCTAGAGCTCACCTCCGTCATCTTCCCAATGGATGAAGTGAAGACTTCTGTGAGGTACATGAAGTGAGAAGGCTTTGGTGTGTGGACTGTTTTCCGTATGTCAGCACTTACTGGGCCTTGTTCTAGGGTCCTTGTTTTCCTGGTATGAAATTTGATTCTTATCGTCCTCAGCAAACAGTAAGCCAGGGAGGCAGCCAGGGCACGGGGTGGGGCAGCCGTGTTGTCACAGAGCGCCCAGGTTACATGCTGACTCACCCCTGGCATGCCATCCCAGTGCTAGCCAGGACGAGACACAGCCTTGAACCCACGAACCTGATCTCTTTGTTAAATGACCTTGTATGGAAAGGAAGAACATACCTTGTGCCTAGACTCAGCCTTTCCTTGTGCTGACTTAGCCTTTCCTGGTAGTTCATTCTGCATGGCTGAGACAGCATGGTGATTTTAGTGCAGAGGGACTCCTCACCTCGCCGTTCATCACAGGTATGCCTGGTGCTTTTGACAAAGCTCACCAGGGCCTAGTGCCTGACACCCGTAATCCTAGGGACTTGGGTGGTAAGCCAGGAGGACTGCAAGCTGGGGAACTTAACTGAGATCCTGTCTCAGCTTAAAGAGAGGGCTGGGCTGTGTCAGCTCTTGGAGTGCACACTCCTCCCTCCCCTCCATGTCTCAGAATTGTGTAGATGAGCGTGCACACTCCTCCCTCCCCTCTGTCTCAGAATTGTGTAGATGAATGTGCACACTCCAGCCTCCTCCATGTCTCAGAATTGTGTAGATGAATATGCATACCCCAGCCTCCCCCATGTCTTAGAATTGTGTAGATGAGCGTGCACACTCCAGCCTCCTCCTCCATCTCTCAGTGCCAGAGACCCGTGTGATTCCAGATACTTGAGAGTTTTATTAGGTAGACTGCACATTAAGGCTAACCTGGGCAACTTAAGGAGACCCTTTTTCAGGGATATAGCTCAGTGGTAGAGCCCTTAGGCAGCTAGCAAGAAGTCCTAGGTTCAATCTCTGAGTGCTGATAGAAAGGCCTTATACAAAATTTAGATACAAAGTTGCTAAGTGTTTTGGAGCAGTGAAGAAAAGTTAAATTACTAAAGTTTGCATAAAGACCACTGGTCAGGCCTTAGAGGGAGCTGGTGGGACAGAAGCCCTGTGCCAGCATTCCGTCCTGGTGGATCAGCAGGACCCCAGCACCAGGCATGATTCTGCGTTTCCCTTCTGGACTGCAAATGAGGATCTTAACAACTCCAGAGTTGGATCGGGTCTGTAGATGAGTTGATAGCACTGTGGTGTAAATGACCCGATTTCTATACCACAGTAGCTCGGCACACACTTTAGGAGTTCAAGACCAGTCTAGGATACATGAGACCCTGTCTTAAAAAAACCAACAAACAAAAAGATACCAAACTAATTCCTTCCTTACTGTGTTTTGCTTGTTTTTCAGTATGGGAATTGAATTTAGGCTTCCTAATTTTGATTGTTACATTTTCCATAATTGGTAACTTGGGTAAAACTTTAAAACTTTTGCAATTTTCAATAAGGTTGAACTTTTTTTTTACAAAGAAAACATGTACACATGTAGTTATGTGGCTCTTAATGACTTTGGGTTAACAAGACCACTTAGTGATGTGGTCTTCATTTGCACGAGGTCCTCTGCTCTTCCCAGTGCCACACTTGAGTATGTTTCTCTTGACTGTGGACACATTTGTAGGGCTGCACAAGACATGAGGAACAGCTTGCCTTCTTTGTTGTTGCCAGTCAGTAACCTTTTCTTAGCCTATAGTAGATACACTGTTGCTTTTTTAAAAGCTCAGGTGGCTTTGGAGTTCCTTTGTAATCTTGCCTGTTTGCAGAGATCCTGCAGACGTGTCTTCAGAGAGTGACAGCGCAATGACATCTAGCATGGTGAGCAAACTTGCTGAGGCCCGGAGGACAACCTACCTCTCTGGAAGATGGGTCTGTGATGACCACAACGGTGACACCAGCATTAGCATTACAGGCCCTTGGATTAGCCTCCCAAACAACGGGGACTACTCTGCCTACTACAATTGGGTAGAAGAGAAGAAAACAACCCAAGGGCCCGGTGAGAAGCAAAACATTCTCTGAAAATGTATTGTATTTTGTGAGGTAAAAATCTTCATGCCAGAGTGAACAGGCAGGGGTGACAGCTGGGTTGCCCGCAGCACAGCAGTCTGAGAGCCTGAATTCTTCCTAGTCCTGAAAACCATTTCCTCGTCTCAGAGGCCGCATGCTGTGAGAGTGTTCTCTTCCCCTCTTCAGCTCTTCTAGCAATAGGCAGTCTATCCTAGACAACTCGGGAGTGAAATCATGCGGCGTGTGCATTTTTTTGTCTGCTTTCTTTGATTTAGCCTTCTTTTACAAAGTTCATACCATGGCATATGTTAGAATTCCATTGCGTTAAGTGGCTGACTAGTATTCCATTGTTTGCATATACCACATTTTATATTTTCTACACTTGCTAGACTGACGATGTTTCACCTTTGTGCTTAATATGACTTAATTCATGAAAAAGACATCCTTAGACGATTTCTGGTAATTCATGCCTGTTTACCTTAACATTTGGAAGGCTGAGTCCAGATGTTAACTATGTGTACCTGTGTGTCTGTGAGTGTGTACACAAGTGTGGAAGTCGGTAGAGGGTTTCGGGTCACCTTGGAGCTGGAGTTACGTACAGCTGTCAGCCACTCAGCACTGGTGTGGGGAACTGGACTCTGGGCACTCTTAACTGCTGAGCCACCTCTCCAGCCCCATTATCCCTCCCTAGGCCCTGGTTTTGAGGAAGGGTCTCATGTAGCTCAAGATGGCCTCAGACTTCTGATTTTCCTGCCTCAGCCTCCCAATGTTGACATTAACAGGAGTCACCACAGTGGGCTAATCTGGTCACTGTTAGCAAATACATTGCCAGGCCCAATCAAGGACTGTTTGTGTCTGACCACGCAGGAAGAGTGAAACTATAAAACTACAAGTGAAAATCTTGGTATGTGTACTGATGTGGAGGTCCTTTGTGCCTTTTGTGTCGTTCTCAGACATGGAACACAACAACCCTGCCTACACTATCAGTGCCGCGCTGTGCTACGCCACTCAGCTCGTCAACATTGTGTCTCACATACTTGATATCAATCTTCCCAAAAAGCTGTGCAACAGGCAAGTAATTCAAGTGCCAATCCTGTCTTCATTGATTTCTCATGTTCCTGGTGTGCCCCTTACACGAGCTAAGAGAAGGCTTGACAGAAATAGAAATAATAAGATTGTTTCGGAAGATGTCGACAGTTTGATTGTGTTACAGTTGTGCGTGAAATCTGAGGAGTCCACAGAGAATCCATCTGGTTCTTGGAAATAACCAAAGGAAGGACCAGGGTGTGCAGGGAGGATGCTGCAGACCCGTGCACTGGAGCCAAGGGAACGAGACAGGACAGGGGTGGGGAGGGCTCTTTCGTTCTTATGAAGCTTGCATGTTTGCATTATTACTTTTTTCTCTGTAGCCCTGGCTTATCTGGAATTCTCCGTAGAGTAGGCTGGCCTCAATTCACAGAGATTCACCTGCTCTGTCTCCCAAGTTCTGGGGTCAAAGGAGTGTGCCACCATTGCCCAGCTTTTTTTTTTTTTTTTTTTTGAGACTTTGTTTCTGTATGTAACAGCTCTGGGTGTCATGGAATTCAGTTCTGGTGTGGCCTGAAGGCTCCTCCTGCCTCAGTATTCTGATTGCTGGGCTTTTAGGCATGTGCTCAAGTAAACTAAGCGTAGCCTCTCCGAGGGTGATCCCTCTCCGTGCAGGTGGAGAGCATTGAAAGCAGGAGGCGTGGGTGGTTTTTTTCTCCTGTTTTTGTTTTTTCATGTACTAGGGAATTGAACCCAGATGAGCAAATGCTCTTCCCTAGCTCAAGGCATGAAGAGAACAAGCCATGGATGGGATTGCTAAGGAAGAAAGCTGCAGGCAGAGAAGGCGCAATGTTCTGGGAGATGGGAGGCAGCAGAGATTTGTCCCATGGGACCCTGTAAAAAGTTTCCAGCTGCCATTCTCCACAGAGCAGCCGGTGGTTGAATTTTTCTTACCCACAGTCCCCTGTTGGATCCTTCATAGAATGTGCTCCCCGTGTATCAGTTCATAGCATCCCTGTTTGTGTGACACGAGCTCCTGGCAGAGTTGCTCAGTCACCCAGGGACATGCATTTGTGGTTTCTGTCGATGACGGAAACTGCTCCCCATAAGGGCATAGTTCAGTAGTTAGCCGTTTACTATGGGGCAAGAGGGTGTGCTGTGCTGGCACCGAACTGCAGTTAAGACATAGCCTTCAAAAGGAACGTTGTAACAGACTTAGAAGTCCTACCCTTGTCTTACAGTGAGTTCTGTGGAGAAAACCTCAGCAAGCAGAAACTGACGCGCGCGGTGAGGAAACTGAACGCAAACATCCTTTACCTTTGTTCCTCGCAGGTATGAGCCTGGGCTTTGCACTCTTTATTAATTTGCTGTGTGTTTGAAACTAGTAACTAAGCCTTTGCTTCTTCTAGCATGTGAATTTAGATCAGCTACAACCTCTGCATACACTCAGAAACCTAATGCACTTGGTGAGCCCACACTCGGAGCACCTAGGCAGGTAAGTTGTGTGTGTGTAGCTTTTCTCTAAGCGTTGTTTCTCTGTGGCTGCTTTAAAGTAGAACCAGGATGCACGCTGGTGTAGTATCTAGTGTTCCCAAGTCCCCGATTCTCTGGCAAGGACAAAGGTTGTACATACTCTGCAGAAGGAAGCAGTTGATCGCGCGTGGTCTTCTACGAGCGTGTTGCAGTCACTTGAGAGAAAGTTGCAATACAGTACGTTTAGCATGTGACATGAAGGAGAGGAGTCCCGATCCCTGCCCACTGCCTTGTGCTTCTCTTGACCCTGCTCATTTCTTTTCTTTTTTTTTTAAATTTATTTATTTATTAAAGATTTCTGTCTCTTCCAAGCCACCGCCTCCCATTTCCCTCCCCCTCCCCTAATTAAGTCCCCCCCCCCTCAGCCCGAAAAGCAATCAGGGTTCCCTGTCCTGTGGGAAGTCCAAGGAACCCCCCACCTCCATCCAGGTCTAGTAAGTTGAGCATCCAAACTGCCTAGGCTCCCACAAAGCCAGTACGTGCAGTAGGATCAGAAACCCAGTGCCATTGTTCTTGAGTTCTCAGTAGTCCTCATTGTCCGTTATGTTCAGAGAGTCCGGTTTTATCCCAGGGTTTTCCAGACCCAGGCCAGCTGGTCTTGGTGAGTTCCCAGTAGAACATCCCCATTGTCTCAGTGTGTGGGTGCACCCCTCATGGTCCTGAGTTCCTTGCTCGTGCTCTCTCTCCTTCTGCTCCTGATTTGGACCTTGAGAATTCAGTCCTGTGCTCCAATGTGGGTCTCTGTCTCTGTCTCCTTTCATCGCTTGCTGAAGGTTAATATTCAGGAGGATGCCTATATGTTTTTCTTTGGGTTCTCCTTATTTAGCTTCTCTAGGATCACTAATTATAGGCTCAATGTCCTTGGTTTATGGCTAGAAACCAAATATGAGTGAGTACATCCCATGTTCCTCTTTTTGTGTCTGGCTTACCTCACTCAGGATAGTGTTTTCTATTTCCATCCATTTGTATGCAAAATTCAAGAAGTCCTTGTTTCTTACTGCTGAGTAATACTCTAATATGTATATATTCCATACTTTCTTCATCCATTCTTCCATTGAAGGGCATCTAGGTTGTTTCCAGGTTCTGGCTATGACAAACAATGCTGCTATGAACATAGTAGAGCATATACTTTTGTTGTATGATAAGGCCTCTCTTGGGTATATTCCCAAGAGTGGTATTGCGGGGTCCAGGGGTAAGTTGATCCCGAATTTCCTGAGAAACCGCCACACTGCTTTCCAAAGTGGTTGCACAAGTTTGCATTCCCACCAGCAGTGGGTGAGTGTACCCCTTTCTCCACAACCTCTCCAACAAAGGCTATCATTGGTGTTTTTGATTTTCGCCATTCTGACAGGTGTAAGATGGTATCTTAAAGTTGTCTTGATTTGCATTTCCCTGATCGCTAAGGAAGTTGAGCACGACCTTAAGTGTCTTTTGGCCATTTGAAGTTCTTCTGTTGAGAATTCTCTGTTCAGCTCAATGCCCCATTTTATAATTGGGTTGGTTAGCCTTTTACAGTCTAGTTTCTTGAGTTCTTTATATATTTTGGAGATCAGACCTTTGTCAGTTGCGGGGTTGGTGAAGATCTTCTCCCAGTTAGTGGGTTGCCTTTGTGTCTTAGCGACAGTGTCCTTTGCTTTACAGAAGCTTCTCAGTCTCAGGAGGTCCCATTTATTCAATGAGGTCCTTAATGTCTGTGCTGCTGGGGTTGCTCATTTCTTTTCTAACTGGCTCCTGCAGCTGTGCTGTCTTTGTCCGCTTTCCTTTGTGCTTGCATATTCTCTGTCTGCTCACCATTTGTTAGAACTATTGGAAGTTTATAGACTGAGCTCACTTGAAATTCATCTGCTTAAAACAGAAATCAGCCAGATGTAGTGGTGCACGTCTTTAATCCCAGCACTTGAGAGGCAGAGACAAGTGGACCTTTGCGAGTTCGAGGCTAGCCTGGTCTACAAAGCGAGTTCCAGGACAGGCAGGACTGTTATACAGAGAAGCCCTATCACAAGGGAAAAAAAAAGGAAAGAAAGAAAGAAAGAAAAAGAAAAGAAAAGAAATCAGTAACAACACCACGCTGGTCCATGGTTTGCTCTAGATAACTTGTCAGTCACTCAGCCCCAAAGAGCGGCTCATCTTTTATATCCTGGTCTAGGCTCTTCCCATCGTCCTTGCTCTCATCAGTATGCACATCATTTTGGTAGATGGGAGGCAGCAGATGTGTCTACACTATGGAAAACGTGGTTTTATTTGGTGATTCTGCTCAAACTGTAGGCTAATGTGAGCACTTTGTTTAAGTTAGACTAAACTAAATGTTGCTGTTTCTTACTATGGTATATTAGAGTTTTGAGCTGGCTAAATTGGCAAATGCCTGTAATCTAGCCACTCAGGAGCTGAGGTAAGAGGACCACAAAATTAAGGCCAGCCTAAGCATCTTAGTAAGGTCTTGTCTAAAGGGGCAGGGGCGTGCTAAGTGGTAAAGGCGACTCATTATCAGCTCTCCAGTTGGGGAGCATCTGTGGAAAGAAAACAGTGAGGTTTTATTTGGTACAACTTCTTGAATGGCTTTTGGAACTGGATAAGGCGTTGTCTGGATGAAGCAAGTCTGAGGCACTGAAATCCTTCATTTTCTCAGCTAAAGATGTGCCCCTTCTTCCCAGAAGGGAGACTGGTGAAAAGTACAGCAGGTATTTCAGAGTGGACAGACTGACTCCAAAGTTCACCCCAAACCATTGGCAGTAGGGGCAGAGTAAGAATAATATGGTCTGGCCCCTTTCCAAACAGGGTATATAAAGTTAATTTTTAAAAAGGTGTTCGGGGGTGGGGCCAGGGAGACAGCTCAGTGGATAAAGGGGTAAAGGTCCTTCAGTTGACTTAATTTCCACGCCCCACATGGTGGAAGGAGAGAGATGGCGTCCACATGCTTGCTATGGCACTCCCCCCCCCCCCCAGCAATACAAACAAACAAAATAAAGAAGTTTGCTTAATCTCAGTTTTTGTGAAACTGAGGGAGAATGACTGTGACTTTGAGGCTAGCCTGGCTACATAGTAAGATCTCATCTCAAACACTCCTCCCCGCCCATTAAGAAGGAAGCTGTAAGCATCTAATAGTGTGTGTAGTAGTTAGAAAAGAGAACTCCATCTTAAACAGATCGTGCGCCTACAGGCCTGTTTCGGCTGCCTGCTGAATTAGATGATCACAGTCAATACAGTTGGGCTAGTTGGCATCAAGTGAGGGATGGGTAGGGTTTATTTTTATCATATTTTATATATAAAAACAAGTTTCAGAAATAAAAGATCCTGTTTTTAAGTGATATATAAAAGACCTAAGAGAAAAGATTGGTCTATACTCATGGGTGATGAGAGAAACTTTAACCAAGCCAACACCTCAAAACCCTTTAAATCAAAGGCGCTACACACATTGCTATGTAGGCACTGCCTGACTCCAGTAGGAGAGGCCCTGTATCTTAAAGAGACAATGAAGAGGTTTGTAACATCTATACTAGAGCACAAATCAAAATCTAGAGGAGGTCAGTCTTTCAATCGGCAAGGGGAAGCAACCTAGTAGGAAGGTAGACAGAGGATGCAGATTGCTTGCCTGGAATTCAATTAAAAAACTAATCCTCAATGAAGAGTAAAGATATGGGCTAGGGGGACAGTTCACTCGAGTAGTTAAAGTGCTTGTTGTACAAGCAGTGAGCCCATGAAAAAAGTCAGCTGAATAAGGTAGCACACATCTGTACTCTGACGGGAGGCCCAGACAGGAGAACCACCCAGAAGCTTGTGGACCAGTTTGCCTGGTGTGCCCACGTTCTAAAAGAAAAGCAGGAGCAGAGTCATTCCTGGGCATTGTACTGTGCCTGCTCCCCCGTGCTCCTGTCTGTTTCACACGGAATAAAGGAGTGCAGCAGGGCGGGGCTCTCTCCTCTCTTACCCAGTAAGTAATGCCCAGCTCACATGATCCTGGGGTGGAAGAATGGTGCTTATGCAGCCCCTCTGTGTGCACACAGGTCAGGACCCTTTGAAGTGCGAGCAGACCTTGAGGAGTCCATGGAATTTGTGGACCCTGGAGTTGCCGGAGAATCAGACGTGAGTGGAGACGAGCGAGTGAGCGATGAGGAGACTGACCTGGGCACAGACTGGGAGAACCTGCCGAGCCCCCGATTCTGTGACATCCCTTCCCAGCCAGTGGAAGTTTCCCAGAGCCAGAGTACCCAGGCCTCCCCACCCATTGCCAGCAGCAGTGCGGGTGGGATGATCTCTTCGGCTGCAGCCTCCGTGACCTCCTGGTTTAAAGCTTATACTGGCCACCGCTAATGAGTGTCGACCAGAACACACGAGATCGTTTCCACTGCACTCTGATAACCTTGTGTGTGTAGTCACCAGAGGGCTAACTAGTGTGAGGACAAGCACATGTGCCTCTCAGGTGGCCTGTGACGGGGACCATGCTCAGGGCCTCCTCAGCCCCGGTCCTAGACCTTAGACCCCACAGTGTGCTGCTGGGATGCCTAGAGACTTCCTGACGTAAGTTCTAGACTCTGTCAGGTCACAAAGAAGTGTTTCTTGGTAGTGAGGAATGAAAGACAAAAGCCGAGTTTGTTTTTCTGTTATCTGCCGCAGCTTCGGTCTTCCGGGGGAGGCTGGCATCGGGTGGTGGTGGCACCTGGAGGGCAGGCGGGGACTCTGCTCTCGCTGTCATCATGTATCACATTCCTGATTCTCTGCCACACCAAAGAAACCATGGTCTTTCTTCCACGAGTGGGGAGTCGTAGCTGCGACGTTTAGAGATGTCGGGACAGTTTTCTTGTGCTCTTGTTTAAGTCATTGGCGATGTCTGTGCTACACGCATTTAAAGTGGACTTTTCAGAACCACGCCTGTTTGAGCTAAACGCTGCCCAGGCAGCTTGAACTGATTGAGTGTTCGCTCTCTTGCTGCAGTTTCTTGAAGGGGGGCTAGCCAGTAGCAGGTGTTCTGGGGAACCCCTGCTTGTCGTTGGGGTCTCCGTGGCTCCAGAGGCTGCACATGACAGAGCACGTGCAGCTGTCCCAGGAAGTGCTCGAGGAATTTCCTCCAAGAGACCATTTTAATGACAATCTTACAGAAAGTTATAACGAGAGGCATTATAGTAAAACTTGGAAATAGCCCTTTTTTATTTTTAATAACTTCAAAAAAGAGAGAAGTCCTATGTAACAGACCACAGAAACCTTTTGGAAACCGCCCCTCCCCTGCGGTAGTGCCATCCCTTCCCGACTGAACTGGTGTGGTGACACCTCAGGCAAGTCCTTCGGCAGTTTGCCGCGCCCTGGCTTCTGTTCACGTCGTCGTTATGGTTGTTACTCTGCAGACTGAGGTGCTAGTGAGCATTTGCTGTTGTAGACCTGTAGGAAGCAAGGAGCCCTATGGTCCTGCTCTAGATACTCCCTGGGGAGGAGACTGCTTCCCTCCTGCAGGCGTCACTGTTCCATGCTCAGCTCCATCACTGTTGGAATCTGTAGGCTGAGTCTGGAATGAGCAGATACCAACTGAGAAAGGACCCGTGAGCTTGAGCCGCACAGAGTGCAGACGTCATGGACTCATGCCTACAGCAGCTAGAACGGATGCGGGAGTGAGGCCTGATGGGTATTTGGTCTTAGTGTAAAGTAGAGGCACTTCTGTCACTTTATGTCACAGTCGATGACCGCCTAGGCTGCTGAAATACTCGAGGTTCATGATTTTGCACTGGATCCACCTGTTGTAAATATTAAATACACATTTCAACCACTGTCGTTCCCCCCCACCCCCCGTACTCTTTGCTGCTCATTGAAACCTTTGATGCAGGTGCCAGGACCATCTGTAAACAGCTTTCAGAAACAATGGAGCTGGTATTTTTGTAAACCAAAGCCATAGAAGTTGGCCGTGTTTTCCATTTTAAAATGATTTAGTGAAACAAGGTAATACTGCTAGAAACTCAGAGGCACCGCATAGGCTGCTTTAATGGTCTTATAAAAGGCATTTGCTGTAAGAACAGAACCAAGAGTGTAACTTAACGTAGAGACAGGCAGTCCCCGCGGTATGGTGGATGCCATGGGTGAGGAGTCGGGCGTGCTTTGGGGAAGGGTTGCAGTGTCGGAGCCCCCTTGCTGCACCTGAGACTTCTGCGTCAGGGTGAGCCACACAGACGTTTTCTAAGCTTTTATTGTATTCCTGCAATAAATCCTTTAACAGTACTTTGCTGTGTGTGCCTTTTCCTGGTTACCGTTCATTTCTGCTACTCTACTCAGGTTAACGAGAGTGCAAGCTGCCGGGCGGTGGTGGCGCACGCCTTTAATCCCAGCACTTGGGAGGCAGAGGCAGGTGGATCTCTGTGAGTTTGAGGCCAGCCTGGTCTACAAGAGCTAGTTCCAGGACAGGAACCAAAAGCTACGGAGAAACCCTGTCTTGAGGGCTGGAGAGATGGCTCAGTGGTTAAGAGCACTGCCTGCTCTTCCAAAGGTCCTGAGTTCAATTCCCAGCAACCACATGGTGGCTCACAGCCATCTGTAATGGGGTCTGGTGCCCTCTTCTGGCCTGCAGGCATACAGACAGAACATTGTATTCATAATAAATAAATAAATAAATATTAAAACAGGAGGAGACAGTGGCTGGCTGTTAAAAAAAAAAAAAAAAGAAACCCTGTCTCGAAAATTAAAAAAAAAAGAGAGAGAGAGTGCAAGCTAACCTGAGTGCTTCAGAGAGATTAAAAGAGTAGCCGTGAAAGATTATTCTGCTAGATAAGAAATTTGTTTTTAAAGTCACCGGTTATGGTGCCTTTAATAATGATGGCCTGTCTTTAGCAAACAAGAAAATATGTTTATCAGTTACATTTCATTCTCTTTGATAGCCATAACCTTGAGGCTTGACCTGGGAAAGGAGTGGGCCTCTGAGATGCCCACATGGAACCTGCTCACTCTTGGGGTCAACAGAAAATGTCAGAGGGCCTTCTCAAGCCGAGAGGAGTCTGCTAGCTTTGGGAAATCCTTTTTGTAATTAATCTCAGACAGGCACTTTAGCTTCCGGGTAGTGTGGACGAGTGGAGGGTATGAGTGACTGGGCTGAACAGTTTGGGCCCTCAGGAAGGACACTGAAGGCTTTTTCATGCCTTTTCATGTTTGCCTCGGACGGGAGGTTCTTCAAGAGAGTTTGTTCTTCACAGTTCCTGCCCTTCCATTTTTGTATGTAGCAGCCAGCAAGTTTCCACATAGTGTACAAAGGAAAGGGGAGGTTTCTCATCCACAGTTACCTTTGTCTGATGCAGGAAGTGAGGCAGATGGGCAGGAAAGGGAACTTCTAGTAGGTGGAAGCGCTTCTGTAAAGTGTGACAGGATGCTCAAGCCTAGGTGTGGGTGAGACATCTAAGCACCTCAGCTATGAAGCCATCACCCCCATTCAAACATCTGGTGAGAAAATAGCCTGAAGGGGGGGGGGGTCTTACTCAGAGTTAAATAGATGAAGTGCTCTGTAAACACCCCAAACCACCAGGGTGGAAAACTCAATTTTAAAAATTATTTTGTGCGCATACACATGTGGATGCCAAATGAGAACTTGTGAGTCTTCTCATTCTCCGTGTCCAGGGGCTAGAACTCATGTGAGTCTTCTCATTCTCCATGTCCAGGGGCTAGAACTCATGTGAGTCTTCTCATTCTCCGTGTCCAGGGGCTAGAACTCATGTGAGTCTTCTCATTCTCCGTGTCCAGGGGCTAGAACTCATGTGAGTCTTATTCTCCGTGTCCAGGGGCTAGAACTCATGTGAGTCTTCTCATTCTCCGTGTCCAGGGGCTAGAACTCATGTGAGTCTTATTCTCCGTGTCCAGGGGCTAGAACTCATGTGAGTCTTCTCATTCTCCGTGTCCAGGGGCTAGAACTCATGTGAGTCTTCTCATTCTCCGTGTCCAGGGGCTAGAACTCATGTGAGTCTTATTCTCCGTGTCCAGGGGCTAGAACTCATGTGAGTCTTCTCATTCTCCGTGTCCAGGGGCTAGAACTCATGTGAGTCTTATTCTCCGTGTCCAGGGGCTAGAACTCATGTGAGTCTTCTCATTCTCCGTGTCCAGGGGCTAGAACTCATGTGAGTCTTCTCATTCTCCGTGTCCAGGGGCTAGAACTCATGTGAGTCTTCTCATTCTCCGTGTCCAGGGGCTAGAACTCATGTGAGTCTTCTCATTCTCCGTGTCCAGGGGCTAGAACTCATGTGAGTCTTCTCATTCTCCGTGTCCAGGGGCTAGAACTCATGTGAGTCTTCTCATTCTCCGTGTCCAGGGGCTAGAATTCATGTGAGTCTTCTCATTCTCCGTGTCCAGGGGTTAGAACTCATGTGAGTCTTCTCATTCTCCGTGTCCAGGGGCTAGAACTCATGTGAGTCTTCTCATTCTCCGTGTCCAGGGGCTAGAACTCATGTGAGTCTTCTCATTCTCCGTGTCCAGGGGTTAGAACTCATGTGAGTCTTCTCATTCTCCGTGTCCAGGGGCTAGAACTCATGTGAGTCTTCTCATTCTCCGTGTCCAGGGGCTAGAACTCATGTGAGTCTTCTCATTCTCCGTGTCCAGGGGCTAGAACTCATGTGAGTCTTCTCATTCTCCGTGTCCAGGGGCTAGAACTCATGTGAGTCTTCTCATTCTCCGTGTCCAGGGGCTAGAACTCATGTGAGTCTTCTCATTCTCCGTGTCCAGGGGCTAGAACTCATGTGAGTCTTCTCATTCTCCGTGTCCAGGGGCTAGACTCAGGGCTGCAGACTTGGCTGTGAGTACAAGGGACTGGGATGTGAGAGGGGGTCTGATGGAAAAGTAATGTACTTAAACTGCAAGAGATTGAGGCTGGAGAGATGCCTTAGAGGTTAAGAGTGCTGGCTGCTCTTGCAGAGGACCTTGATTCAATTCCCAGCACCCACACAGTTGTTCCAGGGCACCCAATGCCTCTGGGTTTCAAGGGCTGCATGTGCTGTAAATACATATATGCAGGCAAAGCATTCATTCACACAAAGAAGTCTTAACAGATTTTTTTCTTTCTTGAGACAGTCTAACTATGAAGCTCTGGCTGGCCTGAAACTTGCTCTGTTGTCCAGGCTAATGTCAGACTCACAGAGATCTACTTGCCCCTGCCTCGTGAGTGCTGGGACTAAAGGTATCTGTTCCCAAGCCCAAGCTAGAAATCTTTTTTCAAAAGCCAAGAAATTGGAGGTTCAAGGTCAGTGGTGAGAATGGGCGGGCCACTTGAGAGAGAGCTCTTGGGTGAAGACTCTGGATACCCCAGAACCCACACCATCACCCTGTACCTTTGAGCATTTACTGACTTCCAAGGCCACCCAGATGTTGAGGGAAATACTTTCCTACACTTGTTTACTAGTGCATTTTCCTGACTTTAAAAACTCTGAAGACATTTCTGAGGGTATAAACAAATACATGCATAGCTGTCAGTTTGGATAGTTGCTAGATGGTTTGGCAGCAGTAGCTAGAAGGCCGCAGCAGTGACAGGCAGATGATCTGAGCAGCAGCCGAGCAGGAGGAGGTCTAGTATTGACAGGGAAATAGGCTGTCTGTGGGTGCTACCGCTGATGGCATCAGGGAACTCTGTCTCCTTGATGGCCTTAGAGAAAGACCCCAAGAGCCGCAAGCTTCTGCTGCACTGGGCATGCCCAAGAGGCTTGCTCCAACATTGCTCGCTTTCTACCGGTATGAGCCTATAACTGCAAAACCAGTATCAGCTTGGGAACTTGCTAGAAATTCTGCATCTGGGCACTCCTTCGTTCACGTTAAATCACAACCTTTCTACACCTCTTTGTTTTTTTTTTTGTTTTTTTTTAGTTTTTTGAGACAGGGTTTCTCTATAGCTTTGGAGCCTGTCCTGGCACTAGCTCTTGTAGACCAGGCTGGCCTCGAACTCACAGAGATCCGCCTGCCTCTGCCTCCCGAGTGCTGGGATTAAAGGCGTGCGCCACCACCGCCCGGCCTCTACACCTCTTTGTACTAAGATCATTGGACTAGAGCTACACGGTCAAGGGGAAATAATAGAATTTTTTTTCTTCAAGACAGGGTTCTCTATATAGCAGCCCTGGCTGTCATAGAACTCACTCTCTAGACCAGGCCGGCCTTGAACTCTGCTTCCCAAGTGCCACCAGCAATAATAGAACTTATGCAGAGATTTGCTCATGGTCTCACTAATTAATTAATCAATCTGAAATCGGAATATCTGAGTACTAAAGGCCTCTGGAAGAGCCTGAAGACTTAGGCAATAGGTTTCTTCTTCCAAGCACAGAGGGGGATATTCTGAAGCAGCCTTTAAGGGGCTGTACTTGGGAAAGTCTCTCTGACACAGTGACTGTATTCTTGCTTCGTGTATTCTGCACACGGCTTTCTTGGGTTATCTCCCATTGCCCCTCCAGGTTCACTACTTCCTGCTCAGTGGGCTGCATCAACTTTGAAGACTTCCTGTTTCATCTCGTCTATTTCTTCCATTCCTTCCCAGGCCTATGAGCGCTCAGACCTCACTATACACGAAGCTGCCACCTTGGACTCTCACTTCCAGAAGTTGATTCTATAGGTTAAGGATGAACCTTGAGCTTTGTCCTCCACAGAGAGAAGAACCTTTAAGTGTTTGGTTAGGTGGGAGGCAGAGGTAGGTGTTTCTTGAGTTGGAAGTTAGTCTGGTGTGATGGCTTGACGAAAATGATCCCCAAAGGGAGTGCCACAATTAGGAGGTGTGGCCATGCTAGAGGAAGTGTGTTACTGTGGAGGTTGGCTTTGAGATTTCACATGCTCAAGCTACTCCCATTGAGACAGACCGATTCCTGTTGCCTACAAACATGGTGTTGGACACGCAGCTACTTCTCCAGCGCCATCTTTCTGCATGTCACTGTCACACCATGATGGTAATGGACTGAACCTCTGAAAATGTCAGCCACCCTAATTAGATGTTTTTCCTTTAAGAGTTCCTGTGGTAAAAAAAAAAAAAAAAAAAAGGCTGGAGAGATGGCTCAGTGGTTAAGAGCATTGCCTGCTCTTCCAAAGGTCCTGAGTTCAATTCCCAGCAACCACATGGTGGCTCACAACCATCTGGAATGAGGTCTGGTGCCCTCTTCTGGCCTGCAGACATACACACAGACAGAACATTGTATACATAATAAATAAATAAATATTTAAAAAAAAAAAGAGTTCCTTTGGTCATGGTGTCTCTTCACCACAATAGAAACCCTAAG